GGTAGACCCACTGAAGGGGTACTCCAATTGCCTCACCCTGCGTCCCTGTTCATCATGGAAGAAGCCAGAGTGGTTTGTGTCCCTATTCTCTATTGGCAATTTGGGTAACCCTTTCAGAGGATGGCGTGATAAGAATAGGAGATAGGAATTGGCTAGGCAGTTAGGGTAAAAAGACTCCAAAGAAATGTAGCCAGTTTCTGGGCTAAAAGTCAAAATGTCCTTGGGCCTGTTAGCAACACACTCTGTTCCAAAGGCAAAAAATGTCAAAAGCATTTGGGAGATTGTTTCTAATCCTTAAAATATTTTAGGGTTACCTCTTCAGAGGGGGGAATGTTGGAGTGGAAGGAGTGGGCATGGATTTGATCAAAACATCTTATATGCATTTATGAAATTCTCAATAAAGTTTTTGTAAAAGCTAAAAAAAAGAAATGAAAATGCAAAACCATATTGATCTTTCAGTTTCTTGCAGCAATAAAGTAAGTTGCTCATTGTTAACTGTGATTTATATTGTAAAATCCTAAGTTCTATGGTTATTCAAGCATTTTTCTGGGTCAGATCAGCAATTAAAGTATAGGAGGAGGACTGGAATCCTTTGATGGTTACTCACTTGACTAGAGGTAGGTACTAGATACCTGGTTTTGGAAAGTGAGTATTGATGCTTGCTTCTTTCTGCTAACAGCTAGTGTCTGGGTAAAGTCTGGCTCCTACCCAGTTCTGCCTATTGTACAGGATCTAGATCCAGTCCCTGTCCTTCATCTGTAGAATGGGCTGAATGACTAATGAACACTCAGACTGTGTCAGCAAAAAACACCAATAAAGGTAAAGAACTTCCTCAAACTCTGTGCACTCGGAAGAGGCTGGTGAGACATCCAATCAGCTGTGGGAATGGAAGTGCTGATAGGGTATCCATCACTCTTCAGACATGATGGGCCGGGAGGCCATGCAGAGGCAGTGGCAAGCACTTGGCAGAGCCCAGAATGGCCCAGTGAAGGAAGCAGCAGGCAGTCGCTTACTGCTCATTAATATTATGTACTGCAGCTGGGGGGCCCCCATTTCAAAGGGAGCTTAGAGCAGCCTCAGCAGCAGTTAATGGTTCAACAACTT